TGTGTGTGTCTGTCTGTGTGTGTGTGTGTGTGTGTGTGTCTATCTGTCTGTCTGTGTGTGTGTCTGACTGTCTGTGTGTGTGTCTGACTGTCTGTGTGTGTGTCTGACTGTCTGTGTGTGTGTCTGACTGTCTGTGTGTGTGTCTGACTGTCTGTGTGTGTGTCTGACTGTCTGTGTGTCTGTCTGTCTGACTGTCTGTGTGTGTGTGTCTGACTGTCTGACTGTCTGACTGACTGTCTGTGTGTCTGACTGTCTGTGTGTCTGTCTGTCTGACTGTCTGTGTGTGTGTGTCTGACTGTCTGACTGTCTGACTGACTGTCTGTGTGTCTGACTGTCTGTGTGTCTGTCTGTCTGACTGTCTGTGTGTGTGTGTCTGACTGTCTGACTGACTGTCTGTGTGTCTGACTGTCTGTGTGTCTGTCTGTCTGACTATCTATCTGTCTGTCTGTGTGTGTGACTGACTGACTGTCTGTGTGTGTGTCTGTCTGTCTGTTTATGTGTGTGTCTGTGTGTGTGTGTGTGTGTGTGTGTGTCTGACTGTCTGTCTGTCTGTGTGTCTGACTGTGTGTGTCTGACTGTGTGTGTCTGTGTGTCTTTTTTCTATATGTATCCATCATTGCTTTTCATCCATGTGATACTGATTCTTTCTCTCTTTTTCATCATCCATTGTTTTCTTCAGCTGGTCATTTGACATTTGAATGTCGTAATTTTGTCCGTGTGGATCCGAGGAAGGACATTGTTTTGGATGTGAGCAGCACCAGCAGTGAGGAGAGTGAAGAGGAGGAGCAGGAAGCTGTCAGCAAAGAGAAGATCTTCGGCAGCCATTCAAAAGGTTCTTTCATCATTACAGACTTGAAATGCTTTGTTTCTACTTCTGTCTTTCTGCTTTTTTTTGTGCATACATATATTTTAAATGTTTTAACTGACTGAGAATATTGTTGATAATGATAATTTGTCACTGAAACACAGGTTCTCATGAAGATTCCAGAAAAGAAAAACCTAAAAAGAAAAGCAAAGACAAATCCCATGGAAAGGCCAAAAAGAGGTACACATGTGATTAATCATAGCACTTTTTCACCTGTTTAACATAAGTATTAAAAACAATTTGTAAATGCTTTAAAAATGTGCTTAAATTTTGCATTCAAAATGATATATTTTAACTTTTCACGCAAACTTTTATTTTTTATTTTTTATATTATGGGCTCGTTATCTGTGCACTTGTTATTCCATGTAGAAAAGTCCAATAAAGATATTATAGAATGGATATAAGAATGAATAAATAAATGTTTATTTTGTAGTGGCTTTACAAAAGTCCTTCATAAATATGCACCTACATGTGTGTGTATATATATATTAACAACTTTTTTGTCTTCAATTAATTTTTTTTAAATAGTGATATGAGATTTTTGTATATTTTAGGTGTCATTACTGCCCTGTTTGATCTGATATTCATATGATTTCATACCTTCAGGTCTTATTCATCAAGTGATGATGAGGAAGACGTGAGCAAGAAGAAGAAAAAGCACAAGAGCCACAAAAAGAAAGGGAAAAAGGAGAAAAGAGAGAAAGAAAAGAAACACAAGAAAAAACATCAAAAGAAAGACACAGACTCTTCCTCATCTGACAGCTCTACTGGATCATCAGACACGGACTGAAGCTATGACCGAATCACAGCAAAAACTATAAAATACCTTCTGCCAGAGCCATTTGTACATAACACCTTTATACTTTAGAAATAAATTGTCTTTTTATATTTACCTCTGAGAGTTGGAGTGATGTTTTTTTTGTGTGTGATGTATTACATTTTTTATTTTGTGATTGTATATAAATGAAATTAAAACCCACAATCCTTCATGTGAATACTTTTACAAAGCTTGTGTTTTTATAATGCGTCATTAGAACTACTGAAAAAATTACACATTTATTTTACAATCATTTATTTTAATCAATAAATAGACAAGTGAGTGGTGATCTGGCAGCTTTACTTACAGTTTAGCAGTCATTATACAAAAACATCAGACTGCAGAATGACACAAAAGCCTAAAAATTATTAAATGCTTCCATATTTCCCTCTGGTTATCTCACAGTATGTAGTTAAGTCTTTCTGCTCCTATCTCTCTCTCCTTTGGCTTGCTCCCTTTTTTTTTATCAGGGGTCACCACAGCGGAGTGGTCCACACAGCCGATTTGGCACATGTTTTTTGCCGGATGCCCTTCCTGCCGCAACCCATTCCTGAGAGTGCACTAACTTGTCTTTCTGCTCATATCCGAAAGTACTATATATATATAAAACCCAAACAGCAAACGAGTAGAGATGTTAAAGTAGGTCTAAAGTGCTCACATTCATGTGTTCCTTTAAGTTTAAATGCTTTATTGTCCTTCTGACTCTAAGGGTGGAGCGGATGTGATTGCCCAAGATCTGAGTCTAGCCACTTAGACTTTGTTAGGGAGAGGAAAGAAATGACCCACGTACACAGATGACAAAGCTCTTTTCCATACTCATTCACTTCTGGAATAAGTGCTGATTTTCAAGTGGATTAGGGAAAATATTCATAAAGAAAATGACTTGAACAAACCTCTAATAAAAGTAAATGTCCTGAGATAGTGCTGAAGAGAAAAGTCATATAATTTCATGTTACACACATCTGTTAATTTTTTCTTTATTAATAAATTATTTTATTGTCTTCAATGTTCTCAGTACAGTGAGGTATAAATAGGCGCCTAATAGCAGTGTGTCCTGTATGGTTATATGTACTCTGAATCGTTGAAGTCATAAAAACAGCAGGTAGTTTCTATACTCATGGCAACAGTGTTTTACTTAGCTAGCAATAAATCGATTCTGAGTCTCAAACTGCTGAACAAACTAAATCCATGTCAGATGTCAGGTATTTTTAATTAATTAAAGAAATAGCAGTATCCATGTTTTCTGCCCAGTCTTATTGGGGAGTAGCTTTAGTCATGTTTAGAATACTTTTCTACAATAGCAAAAAAAATTTAAAGCTTCTAAAAAAAACATTTTTTATATATATCTATAATAATATTGTATTTTTGTTTCTTGTTATAGTTTGACAGATATGAGAGGTGTGGCAGCAAATAACATCAAGGTGTGAAAGCAAATAGCAAACTAGCAGTAAATTCTTGGAAAAAGACATTTGTGACTGTTTATAATCATTAGCTACAGCTTGCCTTACTGGACTTTGAACCTATAAGAAGGGCAATAAATATTTTGACAATAAAAAGTAAGTATAGACCTTTTTCTATGCATTTCCAAGGGTGGGTCTGAGCATGTGACGTTTCAAACCCTATATAATCTTGGCATATCGTGTGCATGTTTCAGTGCATAGTGGAATATACTTACTCAACTGAGGAAAATCAGGTAAAGCTACAATTAAATATTCCATACTTTTTGGTAAGCTTTCTGTATTAGTAAATATTACATTTAAATGTCATGTTAAAAACATTAAACATATATATATATTTTTTTCAAATTCTATGCCTGATTATAGTTTTGGGGGGAAAATACATCATTAAAATAACAGCATAAATGTTCTTGACAGCCTAAATGTCTTTACCTGTCATAGATCATGGAGGTCACATCTCAACCTGCTGCATTTGAACCCCGAGACTTTCACTCGGGCTTGATGAGCTGCTGTGACGACGTGGGTGTATGTAAGTGATTCCAAGAGCACATAACGTAGCATATTGTAAGTAAATCTATACTGCTGATTGGATTTATTTTTAAATCAACCATATCATTTTTTAGGTTGTTGTGGCCTCTTCTGTCTTCCTTGTTTGGGCTGTTCCATTGCCAGTGAGATGAATGAGTGCTGCTTATGTGGTTTAGGCATGCCGATCCGAAGTGTATACAGAACTAAATACAACATACCTGTCAGTATCTATCTATCTATCTATCTATCTATCTATCTATCCATAAATATAGATGGGGCCTATTATTTACAGTTTTGTTTAATTTGCATCTCCAGGGATCCATGTGTAATGACTGGATGATTGCATACTGCTGCTTAGGTTGTGCAGCCTGCCAAATGAAGAGAGACCTCAAAATAAGGAAGAGTAATGGAACACTGAAAGCATGAGAAGTGAAAAAGGAGCATCTGTGTGGTCTGTTGGTTGTGTTTTGAAACATAGGCATATCTATGTAAGAGGAGCGTAACAGATGTAGGTAGAACTTCAATGCAATGCTACAGTAGCCAAATTTTGCTATTTGTAAGAAAGTGTTCATTTAATACAGTTGCAGTTGCTGCAAAGTGTTTTATTTGTAAAGCTACAGCTGTATTCATTTTCTTAATATCTACTTTAAACACAATTAAACATTTTACAAGTACTGTGTAGTATTGCCATGATGCCATATGTCATGCCTGTATTCCGGTTAACATTTTATTGTAACAACTATTCTTTTCTCAAACCCTTCCAATCTTATAAATAAAGAAACAAATATTATTTTCTAAGATGAGATTTAATGATCATTCCATGTAGGGCTGCCCTCGACTAAGGATTTTTCTGGTCTACTAGTAGTCGTTCATTTGAAGCATTAGTCGACTAATTGCACGTTTATTAATAAACCATTTAAATCATTATAATGAGCCTTTAATTGCCTTCATAGCCTAATAAGCGCTTAAGCGCATGCATAAAGCTTGCCACAGCGCACAGGCAGAAGTAATGATTATGGTTGTGTCAGGGAAAAACAGTAAGGAGACTGCATTAACATTTTAATAATTTGATAAATTAGTGCTTTCTTTGTTTTCGGTTTAAGAGATGAAGTCATCGACACTGGACTCGCCTGTATGCATGTTTCATACAGATTACATAATCGGAGAATATTTGTTTTCCATTTGAATTGACTCATTTGAAAGTAGACATTTCACTCTCTATAGATATATTTTTATGTCTGTAAGGCAAAGATATACACGGAGTTTCGTGCTCAAGTTCACAGAGACAGAGATGGCAGGAAGAGCATCATGTTTTTAAAATGATTATGTTTGCTTTCATTATTTTACAAAAGTGCATTTTGTTGTTATTGTGAGTACACACAAATAAAGAGTCTTTACAAATTTGAAAGATGTATTACTATTATCTGTTTGACCAAAAATGAGGGAGTATTTTAAAGGGGTCATATGATGCTGCTAAAAAGAACATTATTTTGTGTATTTGGTGTAATGAAATGTGTTTATGCGGTTTAAGGTAAAAAAAAACACATTATTTTCCACATACTGTACATTATTGTTTCTCCTCTATGCCCCACCTTTCTGAAACGTGTCGATTTTTACAAAGCTCATCGGTCTGAAAAGCGAGGTGTGCTGTGATTGGCCAGCTATCCAGTGCGTTGTGATTTCAACGTGAAGAGAACATTTGAGATGGGTCTGTAGTTTGTTAAATCTTGTTGTTTTGAAATTAAAGGTGACTGCAAATGTTATGGTCCTCAGGAGGTGACCTAGAGATAAGAAGAAGTTAATAATATTAAGGCTCTTCTGTTACAGGGAGATTTTTTTCAGTAGTGTAGTATGGCATCTGGCAGCTTTTAGAGCCTATCAATAGGTGGTTTAGTGAACAGCATATTCCAAGGCCCCATTTATGATGGGGCCCCTCTATGACTGCAACACTGGAGAAAGGTTTGCCACATTTTGATTGGATCTTGGTGGACTAACACAAAGAAATGTTTAACGGCCACAGATAAGGCTGCTAGGACAAGCTGGGTCGATGGGCCATGGCGGAGTCCGGGGCTTAGAGGCTGGAGGCGGAGGCCAGGGATTCTGCAGCCACTGTAACGATGGAGGACGGCAGACCCGCGGAGCTCGCACTGTACTGATGGTGGGCTGAGGGCGAGCAGAGGGGCTGCCAGATGACAGTGGTGGAGGAGGCAGGAGTGGGTGGGTAGGCGGGCACTTGTAAGCCTCCGGGCTCTCCGGGCTTAACTTGGGAACAGGAGCCCTCTCTGGGTTGGACATAGGAACAGGAGCCTTCTCTGGGCTGGACGTAGGAACAGGTGCCCTCTCTGGGCGAAACTCAGGAACGCGAGGGACAGAGGTCACTGACGGAGGAGAGAGGAAAGGGGGCAGGTCAGTATATAAGTCAGTTAAGTTTTCCTCCGCTTTCCCTTCACCCAAATCCCTTCTCAGCTCACCCTCAGCCACGGTGCAGGGGGCGAAGCTCCTCTCCGCGCTCACTTTGTCAACGGATTTCTCCCTCGTGGCAGGCATTGTAGGCAGCTCTCGAACCTGGTCTGACGTCATCAGCAGCTCCGGCAACGCGGCGATCCTCAGCTCTGTCGCTCCTTGCGGCGATGGCTCGTCGGTCATGGCGGGCTCGGGCTCGGGCTCTCCGTCATCGGTGGGCTCGGGCTTAAGCTCCGCGCAGCGGGGAGATGGTGGGCTGGGCACTGGGTCTGGCTGTGTTCTGAATCGGGGGTAGATGCTCTCCAGACACTGGATGATTGCCTCCCTCCAGCACAGTCCGGTGGGGTCTGGGAGGTCGACGGGCAGTAGTAGTTGGCCCCGATCCAGAACAAGGAGTTCAGTGCAGCGTTGTCGAACGTCACTAAAACGGTGAGCTGGCTGAACTCCACAGCATACTCCAAGAGAGAAAGGTCTTTGCGGATGAGGGAGGTAAACTTTACAGAGAGGGAATCCATGGGGCACACGTGGAAAACAGAAAACCAACACTGAAAAATGCAAAAAATAAAGGGAGGGGAACAATGCAAAAAAACGATTTAGTCGGTGGTGTGTTCTGTCACAGGTGCTACTGTGGAGGAACAAAGGAGCACAGAGAAGAAGGAGTAGAAGGAAAACAGTCTTTATTAATCCAAACCACGGGGAACACAGGACAG